CATTCAGCTTAATTGAACAACTCCTTCAAAGCATTTAAAACTTTGAAGAGAATTAAAGTTATTTTCTATATTTTTCAGGATTCTTTTTTTTTTCAGAAAAAAATTCAGAAAATGTATGTGGCTGCTCACCCAAAACAAAGAATTTTGCTTAAGATGTGCAGGATAGAAGTCCTAAACAGATATCAGCAAGGCTTCAAAAGATGGATCTGCTGCATTGCCAATCTATATGTGGGAAACCTTGGTCGAATATCAACAACAAGTGGATAATAAAATGGTTTGTATTATATTTCAAGGTCTGATTAGTTCTCCTATTCAAAACTTTAAGGAAATACTTTATCACTTTTCTAGTGAAAAGAAATCTATGAACATTAAACAAGAAAAATTACTGGCAAAGATTAATAAGTATGAGTATATTGCTCATATTATCAGCATTTCTTCTTGCCTATCTTGCATAGGTTAAAGTCTCTTGCACATGTAAATATTTTGAATAACCATATTAGAATGTAAACAGTACTGGTTTCATTTTGCTTTATTGCTATGAAAGAAGAAAAGTGGGAAGAAAGTCACATGTCATACTTCTACACACATTTACACTTTTAAATTCATTCCAATCCAGCAGGATGTTGGAAATAAGGGGCTCAAATTTTTGTCTGCACTTCAACAACACAATCCTCAGAAAAATTACCAGAGTAGGCTCACTCTGGGGTTGAGAGTCAAACTAGCAAAAGAAAAATCAACTCTGAATATAGGATAGGTCTAAAGAGGGGTGGGGGCTACGGAGAAAAAACAATCCAAAAAAGTTTCCCCAATGCATTCTTATGGGTATTTATTTATTTATTTAGCATATGGCACATGTTAGTCAGGAATCACCGAGGTGGCTGGCTGCCTCTGGGAAAGGATTTTTTTTAGGCAGTGTTATCTTTACCCGCGGGACACCTGAATGCTGGTAGGCAATCGGGGGAGGCTCCTTTCTTGTCCCTCCCTTTATTCGCCCACAGGAATCAAGTCACCGAGCTGCTGACCTCAGAGGTACCAGCATCTTACCACATGAGCCACCGCAGCCCCCCTATTCTTATGGGTAAAGAAGCTGGACAGAATCAGAATGTTGGTGATTGTACCCATCCAGTCAACATTCTTGCTATTCTCTCTTGCTCATGTGATCCAGAGCAAAAATGAATATAGCTGCCTAATGCTTCCCAGTGTACACATAGAAATGCTTCGGTATAATATAAGGATAGAGCAGAAACACACATACAGATGTAATATGTTACTTTATTCTACGGAAGAAATACAGATACCTCTACTGGCCACTGCTAGCAAAGGATTAGAAAGTGTCTCACAAGTCATGCTATACCTGCTCTCAGGAAAGAAGGAAGCAGTGGTGGTATTCTACTGGTTCGGCCCAGTTCTGGTGAGCCGGTAGCAGCGATGAGCAGCGGAGACCGAACTGGTTCTCTCCACCACTCTGCTGTTTGGCCCACCCTCCCATACTGATCTTTATCCGCTGAATTTGAAGTGCAACTGCTTTGCACGGCACAGAAGAGTGCTGCGCGGCAGCTGCTGAAGCGACTGGGATCGTGCAGGCTTGCAGGAGGTGCGTTAGAACACCTGCGCAAAGTGCGTGTTTGGCACGCACATGCATGCAAAGTGTGTGCATGTGTGCAAAGAGCGCCCACCAACCACACCCACTGAACCAGTGGCAAAAATATTTGAATCCCACCACTGGAAAGAAGCCAGCTTTCCATGAGGAAATTCATTGGGAGAGTCATCAGGAAATAAGAAGTCACTCCCACTGATTTTTTTTATTTTTTTTTGTCCTCCCATAGTCATTCTGTTTTTCTATTTGGGCAAGGAAACATCTCTAAACCAATGACATGTGATTCTCATTCACAGTGTTCCCTGACTTCTTCAGTCCATAGTGGAAGCCCGGGGAATTTGTTGAGAGAAAATGTATGGGGATCATGTGACCACAGCTGACAGTGGGTTTGGATTTGCAACTTCATTCCTGGGAAACATGCAGAGAGAAAACCAAAGGTTTGCAAGGAAGGTTCCAAGTTATTTGATTAAGTCTCCAACTCAAGCATTCTTCTCCAGTCCTTTTGTGCTTGATCAAATAGGTTATGGGTTGTCTAGTATTTTGTCATGGGTGGTTGTCAAGCCCAGTAACCACAGAGTAATTTCAAGATATAAAATGTATTTAAATAATTTTATGGCTGCTGGGTTTTGTGAGGAGAAAAAAATATTAAGATAACCTTGATTGTCACTTTTTCTATTTACACACTGGCACACATTAAAAATGAAATTCTGAATGTATGCCAAGTCAGAAAAGTAAAAGTAAGGAAAAAGATGGAAAGAGACTTTTTTCTCTCACAGTTCCATACTATGAAAAATTCTTGATGTTTAAAGGTTTTGTAAATCTATATGAATGCACATAAGGCAAATCTGATTCTTAAGGCAAAATAAAAGCTCCATTTTTTGATAGTTGATTAAATTGAAGTATAAAACTCCCAGTGTCATGAATAGAAAAAGTAGAATAGAACTTTCTGCCAGCTAATCTACTTTTAAAAGTTTGAGGTTTTCTCTCTGATATTCAAATTTTTTTTAAATAAAACAAAACACCTCATCAACCACAGCTGCAAAAGCAAGCAGCCTTCCACAAAGTCTTCTGACTACAATTCCTGATATCCCCAGCTATCATAGTAATTGGTACTAGGTTTTAGAAGGCTGATCTAGACTTAGCAGAAGTATTTCCTCTTGTTACTTTGTGAGTGTTGTAAAAGGTGGAAACTTCCAAAGCTGTTTTTAACATCAGACTACCAATAAATTCAGTTTTTAAAAGAACGTTGATTCTGATAATGTGAAGGCATAACATGGAAAATTGGGGCAATCCTTTAAAATAAGTCTTTTGCAATGCAGGGAATGCAGACATAATACCTCTCTTAATCCATTAAGTACTGTAGCTGTGTCTTTTTCCAAATTCATAGGGGTGCTTCTTCAAATGCTCTCTTTTTTCCTAGATCATGAGACAACTGTACTAACCTAGAAAAAGATATAACTACTTTTTGCTTCTTGCACTTTCCCTCATATCATGAAGCACATTTTTAAAAGTTTAATATAACCCTACTAACATATATATTTATTCATATAAATTTATTGATCGTTCCTATGGATAACATACAGAACAAAATTCTTACTCTACAGGAAAGCTAAAAACTTATTTGATTAACGTGGCTATAATAACAGCATCTTGCAAGTCTATTGTTTCTTCTTCCTCCTCCTCCTCTAGTAAATTAAGGAGACTTCCAAATATTATCTTATTGCTCTGGATTTAAAAAACATTTCAGCCACTTTTGCCTAAGTAACAGTTCCTGCATTTCTGTCTGGTTATCTTTTGTACATCCTAACCTTATTCTCAGTACTCTTAAGCATACTAACTCTTTGACAACAGGAAAGGGGCAGAAATTATTTGGAAAGAGGGACTCAGATTTCTATGGTTGCTTCAGTGAATGAAATGGTATGTAGGAATGACCTCCTGAAATGGGAAGGGGAAGGGAAGAGATGCTAAAGGACCTTATTCTGTACTGCTGCTGTGCTATGGAATAGGTCAGCCCCACCTTTTCTGTTTTTATCCCCCAAAGACGTTCCTCTTTAGCCAAATCCTTTTAGCTTCAACAATTAATAATTGACTTTCATTACTCTATGAGTAATGTTGTTGTTAACTTGCTTTATTTTGGAAATCACCTATTTTTATTGTTACTCAGAAAAGCAGTCAAATGAAAACCAATCAAATGAAACCTGTTGGATCAAAAAGATCTACATTAGTGGAACATTGGATTAAGGCCAGAAAAAACCACAAAGCAAACCTGGAGTTGCTCTTTGCTTATTTCCCAAATATTCAAAGTTACTTTTTTGGGGGTGGCAGTTTTATGGTTAAAAGGCTTTGAGCAAATTGGCTCCTGAGCTAAACATACAATTTAAGATATTAATAACTGCCGTTTCTTTTTTCACAGGGCCTTGACGGATGGACTGATATTATCCCAGGAAAATATAATAGAAGATGTGAGTCAAATTTAAGAGGGCCAGTTTGGTTTCATGGTTAAAGCTACTTGGTTAGAAGCCAGGGGATTGTGAGTTCCATTTTGAGCCAGGCACGCACTCTCTCAGCTTTAGGAAGATGGTAGGGGCAAACCCCACTTCTGAAAATGCTGCCAAGAACATTGCCTTGACTTGTTCGTATTGTTATAAAGAGGAAGGTCATTCAATGAACCATAGAAACAACAGTTTCTTCATTATTGAGGGCTTACAGTGTGTATAAATCCTGGCCAGACATTGCAGTTAGAACAACTGCTCTTTGGTAATTTATTTCCCTATGAGCAAGGTATATCCACAAACACACCCAACTAATTTGCTGAGGCATTCTTTATAATTTGCTGTTCTGTGCTGCACACTCTTTAATAAGAGCCATCCCCTGACAGCAAAGGGTACTCACCTTTCCAGTCACAGCAGACTCATGAAAAGAACAATGCATTAGGCACTCAGCAACCAAGAGGTAACAGGGAAGGCAAAGTATTGTTAGATTTGCTGTTTAAAGCCCCGGTCCAGAGCGGAGTAAAACTGTTGTCAATTTTGCCAAAAGGGCAAAATTCTGTGATCTACAGAAACTTTTCTCTGACAGCTTCTGCTTCTGTGGTTCTGTCTATTGTTAAAAACTGAAAGATGGAGAAAAACAGGATTCCTTTAAACAACTCACTTCTAATGCTGAAAGAAACCTGATAACAATGCCCCTATTTGTTAAAGGAAGCCTGAGAGGTTGAAAGCAAACAAGGAAAAGCTAGTTGAGAAATTGGGTAAATGTGTTTGCATATAATTTACATAATTCTTTGATGGTCTGACCATTACCAAAAGGAAAAAAAAATGCACCAAAGCTGAAAGGAAGAAAGAAAAGATTGGTTGCCTATGTTGCAACAGGATCAAGGGGGAGTGACCAATGAAGAAAAAGCTCAAAGTAAGTTATTCTTTGGAACAGTCAGAAGAGGCAGAGTAAGAGAGGACTACAACCTAGGAAGCCTTGTAAAAGGGCAAAAGTGCCCTTTGCCCAGCTCTGGAATGGCTTTCCATTTTCTGGGTTACACTGTTCTAGTCCTATTATTGGAATGCTTTACTGCTGTGGCTGGTAAGTCAAAAGTTTAAGTAGATGTAGCATTTGATAATAACAGTATTGGGGGGATGATAAAGCAACATTTAAATAGACAATGTTTAAGCATAGATCTTTTTTAAAACAAAAAAATGGAACCCTAAGCGCCCCAATGTAAAGATACACACCACTTTTAGGGGCTCTAGATGAATTCTTTTCTTGTTTTTGGTATGGAATTATTGGAATAATTTGAATCTGCTTTGATTTCAGTAAAATTGTCTTGTAATCTTTACTTAGCAGTCACATATGTAGTTTGCATTTTCTTGTTAGATTTGCAGACTAATCTACAGACAAACATAACAAAAGCAAAAAGTTCAGGTATTTGGACGTGAATGTTTACATTATTTTTACAATTTTCTGCCCTGGATTAATCCAAAACAAATTTTTGAAGTAATTTTCATTGTCTGCAAGGAAATTAATAACACAGTCAGAAATGAGAATAACACCGTCTGGCCATGTCTATTTAGAAGTAAATCCCATTGGTTCTAATGGACCTGGTTTATTAAGTATGCATAAAATTGCAACATGTACTGAGCTATATTTAAATTCCAAAGGCATGCTGGTAAGACTGATTTTTACTAAACGACACAGAGGGTAGTCTTAAATTTAGCACTAGCTAAAAATTGCAAGCATTGATGTTAAAAGATGTGGAGGAATTTCTCATGCAATTTTAGAATATTAAATATTACATTTAGCCAGATTGTTTCATTGCATGCCTACATCCTTACCTGAGAGTAAGTCTCATCAAAGTCTGTATGATTCATCTTGACTTGATGCATATAGAATTTTCTTGCTGAAAATAGCACACAGTAGAATCCTAAATCCACAAGAGAGTTGTCCTTATTGTTTTTTGGAAAATTAAGTTGAAATCAATATTAATGTATTACATTATAAGGACCTATGGTAGATATTTCCTTATTTTTGATTTAGTTAGTCTTCTATTGTATTATCACTGAGAACAATAATGAGACTTATTCCTCACTGATGATTGGATGCTACTGGAAGATCATCTAAACCTCTAGTGAGAAAATAACCATAGCATCACATATAATTTTATTTTGTACACTATAGCTGCAGTTCTGTATTCATTCTAGTAAACTTTTAAAGGGCATTGCGTTGATATTTTTTCTATTTTTGTGATTTGTTTATACAGATGCAGCTACATTACAATAAAAAGTATAACAGGTGTATTATTTTATTTTTCTGCCTGCCCTATATCAAATATTTATTATATGACAAGCAGAAAATTACTAGGCAACTGACAATATGTACTGATTTTTTAAAATATAACATTACTTTTTTAAATGAATGTTCCTCCTATTGGATATAAAAGGCTATTTCAAGAATTGCCACCTTTCACAACCTCTTGAAATATTTATTCTTAAATTTACATAAGTTTGTTTCATTAGTTCTCATATAGTTCTAAACTGTACCAGTTATTGTAATAATGCCAGGGTGGGGGGGAAACTGATTTCAAGAATGTATTATACAATGCTCCTGGAAATGGGCATCTGTAATTATTCCAAAGTGAATGTATGAATTTCCACTCCTTTGGATAGTTATTGGAGAAGTAACCAATAACAATCATAGTCACAGCTAAAAGCAGCTGTGAAGCAGCTTTTAGGTTTGAGAGCTGCCAAGTGGAATCTCTACCGATGCTTATCAATTTTAGTCTTATTATACCTGTTGCCAAAAATTTCTAACAAGAGGGGGCTCAAAGGGACGTTTCATCTCAAATCCAGATGTTGTTCTCTTCAGTATCTTTTCTTATTGAGATAATATACTATTATTTCCCTTTCAGAACCAAAGGTTAAATTCAACTATATTACTTTCATGAAATCAATAACTGTAGATTAATAGAAATACATAAACACAATAATGATTTGAAATAAGTTATTCTCTCTTTCAGTTCTCATAGGCTTACTTAGAAAATGCAATCTCTTGTTGTATAACCCAACAACCAGAGAGAGGTTTTTTTTTAAAAAAAACAACCAATATATATTCAACTTGAAACAATTAAACAACCAATGGCACAGTCTTTCTGCTTCTGGGCTGTGTTTGATTTTTATTTTTATTTTTGTACATTCCACTTGCTGGCCCAGATCCAAATCCCATTTGGTTACTCATTGCTTCTTTCAGTTACAATCCATTCTCCAGCTATCTCACACTGGGCAATCCTTGTTGTCTTGACCTCAGTCCTGTTTCAGGTTGACATGCTAAGGTGGCATCCTTCATGGATGGAAATTGCCTGCCAATCTATCACTCTTGAATTCCAAGTTGGTGCCCAATCAGGGCACATGACACTACCATACTGTATTCTTTTCCTTTTGCTCTTAAGCAATCTTTCTGTCACTCTCTTAACTGGAATGTTTTGTCTTCTGCGTCCCTTTTCTCCTAAACTGCCTGGTTTATGAGTAATCTTTCATTTTAAAGCTTTCCACCTTAATCTTGAATAATCAATCAGTCTCACTTAAATTGCTGACTGTATTTTGTCATGCAGCCTGTAAGCAGGAATAATGGCTGAACTAACCATAATGCCACTTATAGACATTGTTTCCCACAACAGAGACAGAATAATCAGGCTACATAAAACTCTCAAATAAGATGACACATGTGAAAAGAGTCATGAGGCCCCAGAAGCTAATAACCTCTGATTAATAAAATATTCAGTGTATATCCTATCAATACAGATGTTGAAACTGTTGGACAGTGTTGAGGTTCAGGGTTTAGTGACTGTGTGGTCTAACCAATAGATTTCCTGATGTTTTACCAGAAACTCTGAGTGGCATCTTCAGAGCCAAGATACACAGACAAAAGGCAGCTGAAATACGATTGACTGGGCTCTTGCCTTAATAGCTAGCTGTAATGACTTCTGATTGGTCTTTAGATGAGGTGAGTTCTGATTAGTGCAGGTTGAGAAGGGCATTGAGATTCATAAAAATGCTCTTTGCAAACATGCTGGTGGTAGATGGAATATGGCTGCTTTAAGTGTTGGGGACAGGACTAATCCATGCATGCTAAACAACATTTTCATAGAAAGGAATCCATTTATGTTCTATGAATGGGTGCAATGTAATAAGTAAGGTTCTAATAGTTATTAATTGCTCATCAAATGTTCTTAAGGATAGTACAGGTAGTCCTTGCTTAATGATGAGTCACTTAGTGGCCATTCAGAGTTATAACAATCATTCTTAAGAGGTAGTTACAACCACATTCTGGAGTTAAGGTGCAGAGAAAGAGAGAGAAAGTCACATGACTGCATTTTAGCACTTGGCAACTGCTTGTAGTGTTCTGCAGTCACATAACCTGATTCATGATTTTTTGCCAATTTCTAGGTTTTTCATCTGGTTTCCAGCAAAATCCACCCATAGCAATGAATGGACTTGCTTTATGACTGCAGTATTCACTTTATGACCATTGTGTTGGCTTAATGACCACCATAAAAAATATTGTAAAATCAGGTGTTGGTGTCTCGGCTTCCAACTGTGATGATTTACAAGATAATTTCTGTGCATTATTACAATCATAAGTTGAGGACAACCTACACTAAAGAAGGAATGTATGAGACAGAGTAGAAAATAATGTTTTGTGAAGTAGAAATGCAATTTAGCATAACCCAAGTTCAACAAATTTTATTAATTTAACATGAAAAGATAATTCATTGAATATAGGGAATGGGTTCAAGAAACAAGATTCTATCATCATTACTGTGAAAATATGCTTTTTACCAGTATCTGGTAAAAATCTTGAGAGCAAAATAAAATTCCTCATACTGTGGGCTGAGGCTGCAGCACATGCATAGGTATGAGTATATGTTCTCCACAACTGCCTTATGATATGGGTCAGAGTTAGAGACAATGACTGGTCAAAACATACTTGGTTTTCCCTGGTTTCTAGGCCAGCACCTTCCGCACTATGCCAAACGGACTCTTTTGATGTCTCATCTTGATAAATTATTGAAATTGTTAAGGTAGATAAATGAAAATTCTCTCTCTCTCTCTCTCTCTCTCTCTCTCTCTCTCTCTCTCTCTCTTTCTTTCTTTCTTTCTTTCTTTCTTTCTTTCTTTCTTATAGTAGTTTCAGAACAGACCTCGTAGTTCTACTGGGTATTATTTAATGTATCTCTTAACACAAACAATTTGGCTATTTGGTACAGAATTATCATTTTTAGTAGCTAAAACTGCACTCTCATTGAAACTGGTGCCATTTTTCTCTTTTCTTAGAAGTATTATTTTGTGAGTTCCTGTTTGGATTTGACTATTTGAACAACCATGAGAGTAAAGTCAGTTTAGTATAGTGGTTCAAGCTAGAAATTGGGAGCATGTGAGTTCTAGTCCTACACAAAACCAGCTTGGCCTATCACTCTTGCTCAGCCATAGAAAAAAGGCAATGTCAAACCACTTTTGAAATCTTGCCAACAAAAGGACTAGTCCAGGCAGTCATTAGAAATCAACAATTAACACAAATATACTAAAAATATCCACACAACAAAAAAGGATCTGAAAATAGATTATTTCTAGATTTGAAAGGACTGATAAAAAAAATAATAGCAAAAGATTAGCCAAGTCATCAGTTCTCATATCAACAGAAGAAGGGAAAAAAAGATAACATTTATAATGTTGATTATAATGAGTAATCCTTTGTATGTTAGTCCATAAGAAGAAGATCCAAGGACAACAGCTATGTTTAGTTGGATCAAATCACCTTTTGGTACATCAAGTCTCCCAAGGTTAGATTGGCCACAACCCTATTGGCCTTTAGGACTTCCCTAGAGACATGGTTGTGCCATCAGGCTTGGGAATCCCATAGAGAAGAGGTCTCCAAACTTGGCAACTTTAAGACTTGTGGACTTCAACTCCCAGAATTCTCCAATCCACAAGTCTTAAAGTTGCCAGGTTTGGGGACCCCTGCCATAGAGGTTTGGAACTTGCAAAAGAGCTATATTGTTCACGCAGGCTTCTGGCTGGCCTTTTCTCACA